AATCAGATTTTTTTTAATAAAAGGAAAAAGAGTAGGCTTGGGGAAAAGATGATTTCACTTTTGCACATGTGGACTTTTAGGTACCTATAGGAAATTCAAGTTAAAAAAAAAAAAAAGAGCTCAAGCTCTGGAATCAGGCAGGCACTCATCAGTTATCAGCTTTCACACTTAGCAGCTGTGTGACCTTAGGCAAAGTATTAACCCCTCTGAGACTCAGTTTCCTCACCTATAAACTAATGTATGGGGTGTGATGACAGTACATATTTTACAGGGGTTTGTGAGGATTAAATGAGATAATTCACTGAAGCTCACAGAAAGTTCTGGCTATTAGGAAGTGGACTAGATGGTTGGGAATATGGATCTGCAGTTTAAGAGAAAGAGTGAGTTTCAAGTTAGTCTTGAAAGGCCTGGACTAACAGATTTGAGAGTTGTGAGTTTTCATTTCCACTCCAGATATACTGAATCAGAGTCTACATTCTTAATAAGATCCCCAGGTGACTCTCAGCAGGGAGCCAAACTGGAAAGAACTGGTTTGAAGCCCTGTTTGCAACATATAAAACTGGTTAAGGATTAATATCCAGAATATATAAAGAACACCTTCAAATCAATTAGGGAAAAAAAAAGAAAAAAAGCAAACCATCTGTATTAGTTTCCTGTTGCTCCTGTAACAAATTACCACAGATTTAGTGGTTTAAAGGAGCCCTGGTGGCACAGTGGTTAAGAGCTCAGCTGCTAACCAAAAGGTCTACAGTTTAAATCCACCACTCGTCCTTGGAAACACTATGGGGAAATTCTGTTCCGGCCTGTAGGGTCACTATGAGTTGGAATTGACTCACTGGCAACGGTTTGGTTTTTTGGTTTTTTAGTGGCTGAAAACAACACAACTTTATTACCTTACAGTTCTGGAGATCAGAAATCCAAAACAGGTCTCACTGGGTTAAAACCAAGGTGTCAGCGGGGATGTGTTCTTGCTGGAGGCTCTCAGGGAGAATCTGTTTCCTTGCCTTTTCCAACTTTTAGAGGTTGCCCACATGCCTTTCATCTTCAAAGCTAGCAATCCCATCACTCTGACTTCTGCTTCCACTGTAGTCACATTTCCTTCTCGACTCTGAGTCTCCTGCCTCCCTCTTTCACTTATAAGGATCCTTGTGATTACCTTGGGCCCACCCAGATAATCCAGGACAATCTCCCATCTCAAAATCCTTAATTTAAGCACATCTGCAAAGTCTCTTTTGTCATGTAAAGTAACATCTGGGGATTAGGACACGGACATCTGGGGGGGGCGGTCATTATTCTGCCTACCACACAATCCAATAGAAAAATAGACAAAAGACATAAACAGGCATTTTTGTAGAGGAGGAAACACATATGAAACCCTTAGTTATCAGGGAAATGCAAATTAAATCACAATGAAATGCCATCTGAGACTCACCAGATTGAGAGAAAAGTTTAAAAACTGACAACAAATCATTAGCAAGAATGAGAAATGAAGGGCATTTTCATAGGTGTATAAATTGGTACAATGCCTTTGGAAAATAGTTTGGCAATATCTAGTCATCGAAAGGAGTCCCAGTGGCACAGTGGTTAAGACTTGGCTGCTAACTGAAAGGTCAGCAGTTGAACCCCCAGCTGCTCTGCAGGAGAAAGATATGACAGCCTTGGAAACTCTATGGGGCAATTCTACTCTGTCCTGTAGGGCCGCTATGAGTCGGAATCAACTCGACAGCACACAACAACAATAAGATTGAGCACGCACATATTTTACAATTCAGAAGTTCTACTCCAGGATCTATACTAAAAACTTGCATATGTGCAACAGGAGACAAGTACAAGAATGTTAATAGCAGTCCCTCCAAAAACTCCAACAGGAAAATGAACTAATAAATCAGATACGGTGAAACAATGAGACATCATGCAGCAGTAAAACAAAACAACTACAGCTATATAAAAAGCAAGGGTCATGATGTTTGTGCAAACATCGATGTCTTCTATGCAGCACTTCTCATACTGCAGTCTGTATACCAGTTACCTGGGGTTCTTGTTAAAATGTAGATTCTGATTCTATACATCAGGGATAGGGCCTCAGAGCCTGCATTTCCAACAAAGCTCTCTGCTGGCCCACCGGCTACACTTTGAATAAGAAGGTTCTGCAGTATATTTAGGTATGCATGTATAGTGATAAAACTATTTTTCTTTTTGAACAAAAATGTGAATAATAAACATAGCATTCAGGAAAGTAGATACTTTTACTTGTGGGGGGAGACGGGCTGGAATGGTCCTGATGTTTTCTTAAACTGGCTATTGGGTTCCTGAGTATTCATTGTATTTTGTAACTTGTATATGTTACATATGGATTATTTTCCATATTTGAAATATATTTAAAAAGATAAAGAAAAGCATACAAAATAAAAGAGTGATCAGCGGAGAAGCTAGGTGGCGTCAAAAGCCTGGGCAAATAAAGGAGAGAGTCCCGCAGCATTACACTCTGATAGATGTAACACATACAGCTTTAGCCTAATAGCGTTAAATTTAACTCAGTACTTGATGACGAGAAATTCACTGACAGGCTACTTCGTGTGAGCCCAGACTGAAGGGTTAGGACTTGTACTTACAGTCCAAGTTTCTCAAACTTGCTAGGTTTTAAGAATGACCTGAGACTCTTGTTAACAATACAGATTCCCAGGCAGCTCCCCTGTAGATATCGGTTCTGCGTGTCTAGGAAGCGGCCGGGGAATCAGTATTTAATCTGGGAGAAGAAGGACCTGATGCTGCCGGGCCGGGGCGCGGGCTCGGGGTTGCTCCCCCACTGGCTGGGAGGAACCCAACGGTCAATTAGCATAGTAAACTCAATTAAAGAAGCCGGCGGTCACCCGTCTTCCCTGGAACCAGATTCTACAGCTCTTGCGGGGGAGACTTTCCGAAGCATCCCCGAGGAGCTAAAGTGTGAATGAGTGGTAAATGAGCCTGACGCTAGAGATAGCACTAGGTTGCTTGAACCTCCCAAACTCACCTCTGGCTCCGCCTCCCGGCAGCGCTCCAATCCTTCTTCCCCCTCCTTCGGAGAACGGGATGATGAGAAAACGCGCGAGACACTAATACGGAGGTGTGGTCCCATTCTGACCAATGGGAAATGAGGGCAGGGCTCCGAGCCGTTCTTTCATTGGCCCAGGGTCCCCGGGCGGCCCGGAGTGCGTGCGCGGAGACGGAAGTCGCGCGAATGCGGGAACGCGCGTGTTAGCTCGTAGTTCCTCCGCGTCTGCTGCCGCCATCATGGTTCGGAAGTTTAAATTCCACGAGCAGAAGCTGCTGAAACAGGTAGACTTCCTGAATTGGGAGGTCACTGACCATAACCTGCACGAGCTGCGCGTCCTGCGGCGTTATCGGCTGCAGCGGCGCGAGGACTACACGCGTTACAACCAACTGAGCCGTGCAGTGCGCGAGCTAGCGCGGCGCCTGCGCGACCTGCCCGAGAACGACCCGTTTCGTGTGCGCTCCTCGGCCGCGCTGCTGGATAAGTTGTACGCTCTGGGCCTGGTGCCCACGCGGGGCTCACTCGAGCTCTGCGATTTCGTGACGGCTTCGTCCTTCTGCCGCCGCCGCCTGCCCACCATACTTCTCAAGCTGCGCATGGCGCAGCACCTCCAGGCTGCCGTGGCTTTCGTGGAGCAGGGCCACGTGCGCGTAGGGCCGGACGTGGTAACCGACCCCGCTTTCCTTGTCACGCGCAGCATGGAGGACTTCGTCACCTGGGTGGACTCGTCCAAGATCAAGCGGCACGTGCTGGAGTACAATGAGGAGCGTGATGACTTCGATCTGGAAGGCTAGCGGGACTCTGGTTTTCCACGGCTGCATTTTTACAATGGGAAGACAGGCCTAATGCTGGAGATTCTCAGAGGGAGCTCCTCAGCTGCAGGCCACGCGCAGAGCTAGGGGTGGAGGGTGCACCCCTGTTTTCCAAGAAACTTTCTAAGAACTTGGACTACTGAGAATAGGAGACATTGGGAAGCAGATTTGTGCTGCTCTGGGGAATTAACTTATTGTGCCCGAAAAATTGTAGTATAAAAGCAAGAACTTCACCCTCTTAAACGGCCACCACGACCTCTCGGCTCCACAAGCTTTCCCTTTTTCATCTTGTAGCAGAACTGTTTGGTTTAATTTATTTAACTTAGACATTTTTGCGCCTGTTCGTGCTTAAGCTGTATACCAACGTTGGAGTTTAGTCTCAAGCGTTCAAAAAATGGGTGAAACTTAGATGTTCGGTATCCTCTCCCTTGTTTAAAGGAACGCTTTCCTAATGCCAATAAATGGCCTAATTGCTTTGTAGATGCAACTTTTGGTCTGCCGGGTTTTTTTTACACAGGGTTTTATATGTAGGTCTCCCTAGCTCAGGAACCCAAAGAAGAGGAATAGGATTAGTAGCGACCTGTTTGTGGGGGAGGCCTGCAACAGGGGCGGCATGTGGAAGCTGCAGGATGTTGCTTAGGGCTGAGCAAATTTGACAGTTTACCAATCTCTCCCAAATCCCTTCCTCAGAATGAATTGTTTTGGCAGAACTCCTCCCACAAGACTTCCTGTTGATATTCCAGCCCCAGGAAATACCACATTAGTGGGCTGAGTGTTTGCTTGCCTAAGGAAATCATCACTCTGTAGTTTGGACATCTAGTGGTTAGAAGTGGCCCAGGAGGTTCCTGAAAGTTTAGATGTTAAGAGTAGTCGAGAATGAGGAGAGAGAGCAGAAAGACTACTTTGTTTTACACAAGACTTCTAAAAAAAGAACATAGAATGCTGAGACCAGGGATTGGCTTTTAGATGTGCCATCTCCACATAACCAGGTGAGAGGCAGCATTTGGTAAAGGAACCATGAAGGGAGGGTGACACTGGGGTTGATAATAGCAATGTTCTATGTATCAGGCATGGTTTTAACTGCATTATATATATTAATTTACTTAATCCAACAATCCTCTGGAGTGGAGAATCCAATTATTCCTCCTTTTCAGATGAGGGAAACGAGGCAGAGACTGGTCGAATTACCCAAGATTGCATAGCCAGTAAGTAGTGGAGCCATTCTGCTCCCTTTAAGAAACTCAGCATCAGCACAGCCAGTCCTTAAGGTGTGTCAGGGTTTAGGGAGTCCCTGAATTTGAGTTTCCAGGCCAACAGAGAAAAGCAGCAGCACTAGGCAGTGTGACTGGTCCCAGCAGGATGCTGCATAAAGGTCTGAGTACAGAGCAGGCATTGAGCTGGGAAGACTGCAAGGAGCAGGTGAGGTGATAATACCAGTTAGAGAAGGAAACTAACACTCCTTGAGGCCCTGCTTCTGCTAGGTTGCCATTTAGTCTTCCCAACAACCTGCAAGGTAGATGGTGTTATCCCCACCTTTCAGATTAGGAAATTGAGAATTGGACTTGTCCAAGTGAACTTGTCCAAGTTTGTGGTTCCAGTCTAGTTTCAAAGTTCCCTTGAAGGAAGCTCCTTTAGGAGCAAAATACAAGATTCTTTCGAAAAGTCATTTCTCTCCTTTTAATGGCTTATCAGAACCTGTAACCAGAAATTTTTTGGCTTTAAAAAAAAAAATTTTTGTTCAAGTCAATGATTCAGAGGACAGGCTCTGGAGACAGACTGCTTGGTCTAAATCCTGGCTCCTGTGCATAAATAGCTGTGTAACATTGATTATTTTACTTAGCCTCTCAGTGCCTCTATTTTCCTCATCAGAAAAATGGGGTAATATACTGATTTTTAGAATTGGAGGAAGGATTAAATGATATAAGTCCTATAAAGTGCTTAGAATTGTTCCTGGCATATAGTACGCAAGTAAAGGTTACTGCCTCCCTCCTCTTCCCGCCTCAAAAGAAATACACAGGATGTTAGACATGTTACAAAAAGCCTGAAAGATTTAAAAACAAAAACAACTACATATATACATATACACATACGTATGGGCACACACACACAGTTCAGTGTAAATTGGTACAGCCTCGCAGGACAGCAATTTCGCAGTATGTATCAAGAACCTTAAAAACATGCATTGCACACCCTTTGACCTAGAAATTCCACTTTGAAGAATTAACATAGGTAAATTATGGATTTTGCAAAAATTCGCTACAGGGATCTTTGTTACAGTGATTATAATAGGGAAAAATTGGAAATGTGTCCCAAGGGGAAAAAGTTAAATTATTCTTAGAATGAAACACTATGCAACCATTGAAAATAATTGTAGCAGGATTTTTTTTTTTTTTAATTGTACTTCAGGTGAAGGCTTACAGAACAAATAGTTTCTCACGAAACAAGCACACATGTTGTTTTATGACATTGGTCAACAACCCCACAACATATCAATCCTCTAACTTCTCAACCTTTTTTTTGTTGTTGTTGAAAATACACATAGCCAAAGATACACCCTTTCAAAAATTTCTACATGCACAGTTCAGTGACATTGACTACGGTCTTCGAATTGTGCTGTTATTCTCACTTAAGATGAAGGCTTACAGAACAAAATAGTTTCTCATTTAACAGTTACTATAAATGTTGCCCTATGACAATGGTTAACAATCTCACAACACATCAACAATATCCTTACTCAAACTTGGGTTCCCTATCACCAGCTTCCTTGTCCCCTTCTGCTTTCTGGCCCTTGTCACTGGACTCCTGTACCTCGTTAGTCTCATTTGGTCTTTTTGTTGTGAGTGAGAATTATGCTCTACATCCTTCTCCAGCTCTGTCCAGAACCCTCTGTTGTGATCCTGGTCAGAGCAGTCAGTGGTGGTAGCCGGGCACCATCTAGCTGTACTGGACTCAGTCCGGTGGAGGGCTTGGTAGCTGTGGACAATTAGTCCTTCGGACTAATCTTTTCCTTGTATCCTGTTCTCTTCATTCTCCCTTGTAGCAGGATATTTAAGGACTCAAAAAAGTTAACACTTAAAAGTTATAAAATGGTACCAATAGTATTCCACTTTTCTAAAGACAAATGTAAACATGGAAAAAAACTAATGGATATATTTAATTACAACAATAAAAAAAAGAAAAAAAACTACTGGATATAATAGTGTCTTTCTCTGGGTGGGGTTATTACTGGTGATTTTAATATTTTTCTTTATGCTTTTCAGTATCTTCCAATTTTTCTATAAAGACCATTTTATACGTTAATATGATTGTGTGATCTCAATTTATCTGAAGCTTATACATGATGAGTTTTGGCAAAAGAAACATTTGGTTTTCTAAAGCAGTGTCCTTGATCAAAGAGGAATTGAAATGGTCTCAGTAAAGGAGAAAGGATTGATGCTAAGCTGGCTGCCCTCAGAAAGAGGCTTGGACAAAGAGCCCCGCCTAAATCCAATGATTCAGAAAGGTTTGCTTTCCTTGGCCTCTGGGAGCCTGGTGGACCATCCTAGCTTAGGCCAGCTTCCTGGAAAGGTTACGTGTATATACAACTGAAACAGAAGTTTATGAAACTGTCTGATGCCCTCTGGTGTTTTCCATTTTTTTAATGCTGATCCTGTCCCACTAAATTCATTTTACAATCTGCTAATGGGTCAAATGAACCTTGGTGGTATAGTGGTTAAGATCTTGGCTGCTAACCAAAAGGTCGGCATTTCGAATCCACCAGCTGTTCCTTGGAAACCCTATGGAGCAGTTCTACTCTGTCCTATAGGGTCGCTATGAGTTGGAATCGACTCAGTGGCAATGAGTTTGGTTTGAATGGGTCAAAACCTTTTACTGGAGTTTGAAAGTTTGAAAAAGTGCCCTTGAAGACACTTCAGCCTTTTCCAAACTAAACTGGCATTTTAACTTGGAGTATTTAAGAAATTGCTGTTTTCAGTTGTTGAGTCAGACCATTGGCTCCATCTTTTATTAACTGTTTGACCTCAAGTTACCTCGTATAACAGAGTGTGTTTGTTCATTTGTGAAACGGGGATAATACTGTGAAGATCAAATGAGATAACAGAAAATACTGGGCAGCATGTTTTCATTCAGAAAGTGCTCCATAAGTGTTGATCAAACCAAACTCAAACCAAGCCTTGTGATACCAGTGCTGCTCTGTGAGCATGCTTTGGGATGTGGTGGTCAGATGATAGAGCCCTGATTCCTCAGGATGGCATTCCAGGGCCTCCAAGATCCTGCCTGCCCCATTCCTCATCCCTAGGGACCTTCACTCCCCACCCTTACACGCCCTCATCTCCCAGCCTGGCCTTTCTCCCCATGCGTTGTCATTCTGGCAGTCTTCAGCCCAGACTTGTCGCCACCTCTGAAGCCTCTCTTGCTCTCTGTAACCTAGCATCCTATACATGTCCTGTTTATAGAGCACATCTCCTGGGTCTGTAATAGTTTGCCCCATCCCAAGGCTGTAAGCTTCTCCAAGGCCAGGGTCCTGGAGATCATATCTGACTCATCTTGTGACTTGCAGGGTGCCTGGCGCATTATTCACCTAGTGTTTATTGAGTGCCTACCAGTGCATACCACACAGCAGTGAACAAAACAGACATGATCCCTGAAGTATTAACTTAGAATCTATGCTGTGGAGGAAAATGCAGAGTGGTATGAGCACAGGGGGGTCTGCTGTAGCTGAGAAAGTGACACCTGAAATGATAAATATAACAGATTAAGTAGGCAGAGATTCAGAAGTCAGGGAATGCCTCCTGGGTAAAGTGAAATTTAAAACCTTAAAGATGTAACTGAATCAGGCAGATGGCAGAGAAAACAGTTATGTGTAAAAGCCCTGAGGTAGGAAAGATTTGTGCATTCTAGAAACAGAAATCCAGTGTGGCTGGGGACAGATAGCCCAAGGTAAGAACAGCCAATTCCTGCAGCACCTTATAGGCAGGGCAAGGATTTAGGATTTTATTCTCATTGCAGGGCACAGGCAACTGAAGGGTTTGAAGCATGGAGATGCCTCAGTAACACCAGTATCTTTTGGGGGATCACTCTGCCTATTGTGTAAAGACTGAATCACATATGGACCAGCATGGACATGTGGGGAGCAATGAGAAGGCTTTTGAGTCTTCCAGGTGAGAGAATGGTGGCTTAGACTAGGGTGGTGGCAGTGAGGCTGCAAAGAAGTAACTGGATTTGAGGTCTGTTTTGGAGACTGTAGTGGATGCTGTTGGTACCGCACCCAGATCCCCTTTACCTGGCCAGGGCACCTATCCCCCAGCTGCTATGAGTGCTGGCTGCCTCTCTTCTCTGGAGAATTGCCTCAGCTGACTTGAGCCACCTCACCTGGGATGTTTCACCCTCTCCACCACTATCCCCACCACACACCTGCAGCCACTGACTGACTGATTGATATGAGGAACAAAAGGCCAAGCCCCATGATTCTGGCCTTGTGATCTGCTTTGGTCATTAACGTGACAGAAGTAATGGGGTGTCAGCTCTGAACCTCAGCCTTAAGAGTTTTCAGTCTCCCAGAACGCTGCCATCTCCATGAGAATAAGCCTGGGAAAGCCTGCTGGAAGGTAAGAGACCATGTAGAGGAGAGCTGAGGCAATCCAGCGAACAGCCTGCCAACTCCATTGGCAGAGCTGTCTAATCAACCTGCAGCTGACTACAGATGCCTAAGGGAGCCCAGTCAAGACCAGAGGAATTGTCCTGCTGATCCCAGCCTAAACTGCCAACCTGTAGAATCATGAGCTAAATAAATGGTTAGTTTTTTTCTATTGTTTTTAAAGGCAGAGCCCCTCACCTCAAGGCAGGACAGCCCTGGGGGTCAGACCAAGGCTAGACTTTACCTGAGTCCACATCCTTGCTTTGTTCTTTCCTCTTCCCTCTCCTGCTTCCTTTACCCACTCAAGTGCTTTTCTTAAGAGCACCCCCTTGACAAATCACATGCACTCAAATCCCTATCTCAGGCTCTGTTTCCAGGGTACCCAAACTAATACACAGGAGGAAGTGAGAGGACAAGTGGTGAATGGGGTGTGAGGACTGAGGCAGGTGACAAGCATGTCTTCCTGTCTCCAGTTGCTCAAGGTATATGTAGCACATGCTCAACGAAAGTGGGGGTGCCCATGATGGTATCATAGAGCCCCCTGATGAGGTTACATGGCCAAGTGGATTCCTGGGCAGGCCCCTCTGTTTAATGAGGTCCAAGTGACTCTGGCTGGGTCTGGAGAATTAGAGTGCTGGATGTCTTCAGCCAATCAGGCCTGGGAGCACTGTGGGTGAAAGCAAGTCCCAGGCTGCCATCTTGCCTGGGGCCTGCTGCCTCCCTCACGAGTCTCCATAGGATTTTGCAGTTGGATCTGAGCAAGCCACAGGAGCAGCCAGCAGAAGGCAGGAGGGGAGCTCAGGCCTCAGCCCACAGGAATGATGGCACAGACTTTGGCCATGCCCAACTCCCTGCCCACCCAGTCAACTGCATCTCTAGTCTGGCCAAGTTCTGTATGAGTGATTGCATTGCAATGAATTACTTAATATGGCCCTTCTAGCCATAGTCTTTGCGACTCCCACACAATAATTGGGTGGGACTATGCAAATAAGATGTTTGTGGCCCACCAAGGGATTGGACAGCTTGCAGCTAATGCAAATAAGGTGCATGGAACTCTTGTGGGGGATGGGACAATGCAAACAAGATGTATGGAATCCTAATGAGGGGACTGGTCAGTTTTGCCATCCGCTAAGCTTAGAAGAGAGCCAATCCCAGAGCAGAGGGGGGAACTTACTACCACCAAGAAGAAGAGACAGGAGTGGAGCATGTTCTTTGGACCTGGGCTCCCTGAGCTGAGAACCTCCTAGACCCAGGAGACAGAGAGCTGTAACACTGGAGGTGGCACAAGATGGTGAGAAGCAGCAACAAGCATGGCAGAAAACCAGCAGCAGCAGAACCAGGAGACCAGCAGATGACACAGTGGGCTTCCCAGCCCACAGAGCAAGAAGGCTGAGTGCCTTCCAGCAGGAGTCTTGCTGGCACAGTGGGGTGCCTCTGGGCTAGGCTCGCCAACCCACGGAGCGAGACAGCTGAGTGCCTTTGGGCACGAGGCTTACTGGTAGAGTGGGATGACTCTGGGCACTTATGGATGGAACTAACTTTATAACACTTGCCTTAGCAGGGCAGAGACTAGGCCAGCCCAAGAGGCCCAAGGGGCCAAGGGGCCAAGGGTAGAGAGGCCAAGGGCTAGGGAAAGGCTTGCCTGTGGGCACTGCCGAGAAGCTGTCCTGACCAAACAACTGTAACCTGAGCCGTTCTTGATCCTGAATTGTAACTTGTTACTTCCCTAATAAACCCCATAATCATGAGTATGGTCTGTGAGT